CTCTCTGGTTTTGAAAAACTGGGGCATATGTCCCCCCCGTTAACAGCAGGCATTTCGTGAGGATGCGGCGCTGCCTTGGTCGAAGGGCAGGGTATGGAGGGGGAGGTATTTTGGCTCAGGGCAGCATCTAAGCATGGTCCGTGGTTGTGTTACTCCTGTGAAGGTAAATATTGTGGAACAAACCCATTTATTATTCCTCCTATGGGTCCTGTGCTTTGGCATGAGTTGACCCAGATACGGATGGCCGCTTGCGCTGCTGGGGGAGTTGGCCACGTGGCTTTCCAAATCCCGAGATGGCACGGTCTGTGTGCTCCCAGCAAGACCTGAGGCAGATTGCTTTGTGTGGGGTTGTGGACCACGAAGGGAGAACAGGAACATTGGGAGTGCTGAGGGAGCTTGCCAGCTCTTGTAATTATCTTGTAATAATTTGCTTGCGAGCTCCCTGAGCCCTGCTACTCTTTTTGGAAACAATAAACTTTTGCTGGGAAGCAGCGACACAGCTGTCTCTGTGTGGAGATAATTCTGAAAGCCTGCCTTATGCTCTGCAAAGCAAAAACTGCCAAACAGTGAAAAACAACTGTTTTCTCGGGGAAACCCTTTGGCTTCAGTGAACTGAGATTGAGCCCAAAGCTGATTTTCTGGGTAGCTGTGTACATGAATTATTTCCAAAAAGATGAAGTGCAAATTTAACAGAATTCCTGAGCCAGGCCTTCTTTTTTTTTTTTTTTGTTCGTTTTTGGTTTGAGGAGGTGTGGTGGGAATGGGAAAGGGACCATTGCTCTAAACCACACTTAACCAGGTTTCCTTATCCTCCAGATGCTGCCTTACATGGCAGCTGTCAGCTGCAGAGAAGGCTTGGGTGAAATTACTGCTGGGATGAGTCCTTGGTGGGGTGGCTCAGCCCCTTATTCTGCGCTGTGTGGGCAGAAGCAGCGTCAGGGAGAGCTCTGCTGTGACGGGGATGTGCAGAACTTGTCAAAGCCCATTCCTGGTGGCTCTGGAGGCTGGAGGGGCCCTGTTGGTGTTTTCCAGTGAGTCTCCTAAGTCTCCACTGATGACTCTCTTGAGAGAAGTCCCACTGCCCTTGGCACAGCAGCTCTTGTAGGGTGGCAGATAGGGGAGGCAGCTTTGCTATTACCTTCTTCCTTGTCTGCATGTAGGAAACGTTCCTTTTTCCCTATCTCCTCCCTCCATGCTGCCTGAACCAGGGCAATGGTGCTGCCCTGCCTGATTTCCTTAGCATGAAAGCTGATGATCGGGGATGAGGTGCTCACCTTAGCTCTCTTCCGAGGTCTTTGGTCTTATGTGGCTGTACATGGACATCAGCTGTGACTTAACTAGAAGGGGGTGGAAATTAGCTGTCACACTGGCTTTTTTTTTTGGCAAGGGAAAGGATGCTCTTTTAATAAAATCTTCGTTTTCCCCTTGTGATGATGAAAGGTATGATGGTTCAAATCATCTTCCTATTAGATCTGGTGAGGACAAAGGGCTAAAGTGGTGTTTGAATTGGATTTCAGTGGGTGCTTATGTTTGCAAGGGGCAGTAACTAGTAACGAGATTGTCCCACGCAGGGGCTTTTGTGATCAGGGGCTCTCTTCAAGCCCCGCCAAACCCCTGCTAAGACCACAAACAAATGAAGCGAGTATATGTAATTGCTATCAAACACTATCCTTAGGACAGGGTGTGTGCTTCCAACAGCCCCTGCCCTGCTAATCAGCAAACAAGTGGAGATAACAAACTGAAATTTAAACAAATAAATATAAGAAAAACCCCAACCCCCAAACAGTTCTCTTACACTGAAATCGGCAGGGCTAATCTCTGGAACATAGGCCAGCCTCCAAATGAACCCACCTGATCCCATGACTTTGTTTCCTCCAGGTGTTTCTTTAATTTACAGTAACAATTGCTCTGCAGCTTTATTCATCTCGATCCCAGTCCAGAATGGTGCAATGTGATTTCCTCGTGTGGCTGCCGCTGCTGCGAAAGCTTTCGCATCACCGTTTCCTGTTGACTCAAATGCTCTTTTCTTACTTTTGCTGACGTCAAACAGAGATGGCAGATCAGGGAAGGCTTCTGAGCAATGCAAAATAGAAATGCGAGGATTTCAGCATTAAGCCCTGTCAAAAAACACTCCCAGCTTTCAACTTCTAATTCCCGCTGAGAGTCATCAAGAAAAGAGACACACAGCTCTTAGGTCAAATTTGCAAGTGTCTGAACTATCTGCTGGTTTAGGATTTATTTTTCCTGGCCCCTTTTTAAGGTATTTATTCCCTTCTACTCTGCCTGCTGCAAACTGCCTTCCCCCCTCACCCCCCAGCCCTGCTCCTTGCCATAATATAACACTACGTTTTATTTCTCAGTGATTCCTGGGAGAGTGATTGACCTTTGCAGTTTGGAAAGCTGATGGTCTTGCTTAAGAGTAAAAGTGGAAGACCTTGCCTGGCTCTTGGATGCTGTTGCCCAAGGGGTGATCATGAATAGTGATGTTTGTAATACTTGTTGCCAGGCCTGTTGCAGACCAGTGCACAAATGCTCTGCTATAAACAAGTTGTAATACCCATCCTGCTCTTTTCTTCAGCAGGCGCATGGGATTTCAAAGTGCTAGAAAACTGGACAGACAATGAGCTGGAAATCTTTTTTTAAAAAGACAAATGAATAAAAATTGTGTACTCCGTAGTTCTGTATTTACACTTGACCTGTGACATGAGACGGTGGGTGGAGGTGAGGCGTTAGCTGTTACACTTGTGAGCACCATGTAACACGTGTGGTGATACTGGCTTAGTTAGTCTGAAGCAAGAGGTGTTTGTAACAAAAGCTACTCATTCTGTGACAGCAGTAATGTGAATTTTAAAACCAGCTGTTCTGGTGCTCACCTGAACATTTGACAAAGAAGTAGCGTCTTCCTTTAAGCATCATAGTACAGATGAGTACATGCACAAGTCTGAGATGGGCTGTAGAGTTTTGCCCAAACTGAACAAGTAGGACATGTATGTTTTAAGACAGGAGGAGTTAACTTTGTTTGCCTGAAGCTCACTTTCAAGGAAAGAGTAGAAAATACATGCATGTTCACCTAACTGTATGCACGTTTATACAAGCGTATATATTACTTACATAAATACGCACACACATACATCCGTCGTCAGGTTGCTGGTAAATTACTTCCTGTTGAAGATCTGGCAGGAGGGATTTCTTTAAGTATGGGTGTGAAGAGATGCCTGGACAAGCTGGGCTAGATAAGCACCTGTCATGTGGAGAGATCAGCGAGGAGGGAGGTGGGAAAGAATAACAGGGAGATGTAAAGGCTGGCCCAACTGGCAAGGCAGAGGTGATACCTGCACTGCAGCTGGAGGAAGGCTGCCGAACAGGTAGGTATCCAGACTCAACCAACTGCGGCAAAGATGTGACATTAGAGATCTGATGTGGGCTCAAGAGCCAAGGTTGATGTGGGTTTGCAGTTTGTGCTACTCTGGCTTAGACTGCTGCCATAGACGAGGCAGCTTGGTGCCTCTCAGCAGCCCTGTAGAGGCAGAGCGAAACAAAAAAGTGTTGTTTAAATGGACTGGAGATAGCACTTGATACGTGGCCATGGTGCTACACGCAGTAGTATTGTGAGATTGCTGGGAACACGTCTATCTTAGCTTCTGGAAGGAACCCAGGAGGAGCTGTTGAGCAGAGCCCAGGATGGTGACGAGAAGCAGGCTGTCCTCATCTGTCATGAGCTGTTTGCTTTCCCGCTCGTGTCCATAGAGGAAAGAAAGGATTCCTGGCTGCTTTTCTTCTGCTGTGTGCATCTCAAGATGTTAATACTAGTAGTCATTTCAAGCTGGCTGGCTGCCAGAAAGTGGAACATAACAATGCTTATCCTCTTAAACTTGGAGAGGGTTTAAAACTGGCTTGTAGATGATTAACATCAGACCTGGGAAGAAAAAAGATACCGTTAAAAGGCTGACTGGTCTCAACTGTATTGTATGCCTCTTTTCCAGTCTGCTTGTTCCTGATATTCAGAGTAAAACCGAAACAATCAATACTGAATGTCCTGAAACAATTACCAGGGGAAATTTTTTGAACCAGACTGTAGCAATACTAGGGTTTAGTTTTGTGAGAAACCACTGTGTGTCTTTCCTCTCACAATTAAGTGGCGCACCCCTTCTGCACCCACTTAACCCATACACAGACTGTTGAGCGTGCAGCTTAAGCAAGTGCCTCCCTACCTGTAGACTTCTGCAAAAGCCAGAACAAAGCCAAAAAAGAAACCTCAGAGACAGCAGCTGTGGTTTATGAGCTGAACTTTTATCAAACAGGTTGCTTTTCTGCCCAGTAGTAACTTTGGTTTATACTTTGTCCTTATCAGTTCCTTTATCATCTGGAGGTCTCTGCAGGTTAAGCTGAAATCTGAGGACCTAAAAAGCAGCTGCCATGCAAGTGTATGGCAGGAAATCCCGTTCTGGAAAACAATGCACATTCCCCAGAAATAGTGCTGGGATACGCTCGAGAAAAACGTCATCATGTGCTGTCGCGGTGAAGCTGCAGCCTGTGAGAGTCTGGTCATGCACCTTATGTTATGGAGCATCTTTCCTCAGAGATTTGAGGCGTTTACTAGGGAGCAAGTGGCTGTTTGCAGAATTGTCTTGTGCCCACTCAGCTCGGAGTGCTGTCGAAGGGCTGAGTCAGGAGAAGGACAGTTCGGGAAACTCAGTGGGAGCTGGTTAGTGATGAGCACACACCTACTGATACGCCCAATCCACATGTGAAATAGGAATTAATTTCATGACTGGGGGCAGCATTTCTGGGAGGAGTGCAGGGCAGGAAGGTACTAACAGATCTTCCTGGTATCGACTTAATCTTTCCTGAAAAAATCAAGATTTATTTTTTTCCCTTAACATCTCATGGGTACTAAATCTGTTTTTAGTTGGGAGATAACAGTTTTACTTAGAATTTTCTGAGCCTGACAGAGGATATGATTAATGCTGTTGGTATCTGTTTTGTTTGCCTGTGTGAAGGATCGCCTGTTCTTTGTGATGGAGTTCGTAAATGGCGGGGACTTGATGTTCCACATTCAGAAGTCACGTCGCTTCGATGAAGATCGGGCCCGGTTCTATGCTGCAGAAATTATTTCAGCCCTTATGTTTCTCCATGAAAGAGGCATCATTTATCGGTGAGCTCTGCATTCATTCATTCATTCATTCTCTTTGTCTGAACCCCACAGCTGAGATGATAGCTTGAGTTTTCTGCTTGAATAAATAACTGTCACTTGCTGCCCACCAGGAACGAGTTGTCAGCTGGGATAACAGTACCTCTGCTTTCCCCCTGCACATTGCCCAAGGTGCATCAGCTTCCAGGAGGAGTGAAATCTCAGGCTGGAGTATTGACTGCAGGGAGGGTCGTCCTATGATGTGTATGCGAACACGTAGAAAAACAGGTTTTCCTTTTTCTTAGATTTTATGTTGGTGTCAATTCACATAGCTGGTTTATATCAGCCCCAGAACTGCCCCTTGTCTGCACCTCAGGTGCCTGTGTGGCTGCAGGGTGTTAGCTGCTGACTGTCAGAAGCCTCCATCGTGCTGCTCGGGGCCTGTCCTGCTGCCGTAGAGCACACATCACGCTGGTGACAAAGGGACAGGCATTAAGTGGAACCTTCCTACGTTTTCTGGGAGGTGAATGCAAGGAGCTGTTGCTTTTGCCACTATGTGCTTTGTTATTTAAAGGTTACTGTGTGCTGGTTACACCCAAGCTTCTTTGTTTCCCTGTATTAGCTATGGGCCTGTGTTTAAACCCTATCTGCATGACAAAACTATCCAGTGCCACTCAGCTCAGCCACTAAAAGTCTTCTAGTTCCTTCCATGACCCTACAGCAGGAGTTTTTCCTTCCTGTCCATGTCTGGCATCTTTGTGTTTGCAACAGGATAGAAGCATCATTGCCTCTGTGTCAGCATCCGGTCTCAAGGCTGTTCTCAGGAAGCTATTTCCCATAAGCAGCTCTCTTCTTATTTGTCATTATTCTGTACTCAGGGGGGTAGTTTGGTTATATTTTTTCCCTTTTGTACTGCCGAAGTGCTCCACTGTCAGCTCAAGCATCAGGGCATGGACCAGCCAGCACGGCGCAGCCAGCCAGTCAGCTTTGCAGAGGCCTCCCTGCCCCGGGTGACCATTTGACCAGCGTCCTCCCGTATACACTGGGCACAGAGCAAGACCTCTTCTGGGGTGGAACAGGACAGCTTGAGCAGGGAGATGTCAGCACTGAGACCGTCTGGTTATACAGGAATGTTTCTTTCTGACATGCTTTGCAGAGCACCTCTGGCATCTTCTTGCCCAGAGCACTGGAAAGGAGGAACAGTCAGTTGTTTTCTTTGGATTGCTGTAACCTGGGTTCCAGCAGCAAGGTGTGTGTATTTGGGTATGGTCTGCTGTAGCCCTGCTCAGTCCCACTTGAGGCACACCAACACTGCAAAGAAAAACATCAGCTCTCTTCTTGCTGCTTGGTTACAGTTGTACAGCTGGGACCCACAGCTGGGTCCAGGATGGGACCGGTTCCATCCCAGTCAGGCTCTTTTGGTACCGTTTCAGACTGTGGGTTGGGCCAAGTGCCATTTGGTCTGGGGCTTTGCGTAATTTAACCCAGGCGATGCAGTCCTGTGTTTAGTAGTGTGTCCTCCCGTATCAGATAAACCCTGGTTTGAAGACACTAAACCCAGAATAGCTGAGGGTTAAAGTGGCCAAAGGGCTGGGGGTCATGGCGGGGGATGCTTTCTTATCTAATGGTGAGAGAATAGGATAAATCAAGTAAAAGCAATTTCTCTCTCTCTTCCTAGCTTGAGCCCTAGTAAGAAACAGATGGTCAGGTGAGGACAGAGAATATTAAATTATTTTTAAGTATGGAATCATATGATAAATGTGGCACAGTGAAATAGAGAAGGAGTGTTATTTTAATATTCTCTGGGTCCTGAGAGTATGAAAATTACTAGTGATATATACCATATGTACTGAGCTTCTAAAGCGCTGTGATTGTCTGCACAGAATAGCAAATCTACTTACTACACAGCTGGATTTTAGTCTAATACTTCCCTTGTGAATAATGCCAGCTGCTGAAGAAAGACCCTTCCAGATAATTACGCAAATGATATTATCCTTAAAATAGTGACATCCAGTAGTTATTGTCAATCATTCAGTAGCAAAAATGTGTCTGTGCATATTGTAATGCCACTGTGCTTACCGCTTGTGCTGTCCCCCACCAGCCTGCTGCCTGTCACAGGGCAGGAGTAATCGATCCCTCTGGGTTTTGGCACTCTTCGAGTGCTGCTGTAATTCATGATAGAAACTGGAGGAGTAATTGAAAAGCTCCTTGAACAACTGCACGGGCTTTGATCTTGCTGGAAAACTGGTTGAGCCATGGAGTCAGGTAGCTTGAGCTGCACGGGGCAGGTTGGCGGGGGGATGACTTGGTTTTGTAAAATTAGTTGGGGTGACTGTTCTGGAAGATGTAAGGGGAGAGAGCTGCAGCTGTGCTGAGCTGAGGTTGCTTCTGTCAGGTCACGAACACTGCGGTCTGGGGTGGGGTCTGCAGGATGGACGGAGTTACTGGGAAGGGAATCACTGCACTTGTGTAAGAGAGCTTGGAGATTTTATGATCAGAATGGGAGTGCTTGTTTAGGACGCTGGGAGCAGGAGGGGAGAGAGACTAAGAAAAACCTGACCAAAAAGTGTTTTGCCACAAGCTGTTAAATGTGCCTCTTTTTTCTGGATTCCCAGCATCAATGGAACAAGAGTTGTTGGCCTAGAATACCCTCGATCATTTGTTTTTATTCTGGGCTAAACTTAAACATAATAGTACTGTATTTTCCCTTGCCCCCTTCAAGAATAAGCATTTCAGGACAGTGTCTTCATTTACCAACACAGATGAGCGTTCTTCTGGTAAGTCAAGTTGCTTTTGCCAGAAGCGCTGCCAAGAGCTGGGTCTTTGCTCCTTTGAAACACTGTTGAGGCTTGAAAGCCAGCACTGAAACTTCGTCAAGAAGTAGCTGAAATGTGTCACTTCGGCCTGGGGTGGCAATGTTGGTAACACCTAAAATCAGGTGTTTGTTTATGCCTTTTCCGGCCACACATATGCAATTTGAAAGAGCCATAACACAGTGTGTCTGCAATTGCTGGTCCCTGAGAATGGGGTTCTTGAGGCAGATGGTGTATTGTGGTTATATGTGACTTTTTAACATCAAAACCAGGGTTACTGCTGGATTGGTGCTCTCATAGGATGGTTTTCATGATACAACCGAAATTTTCAGTAAGTTTGCTTCTCATTTTGGGGAAGGTCTGTGTTCTGTTACTAAGCCCTGCCCAGAACAGAAGTCACATAAACGTACATGTGTGTATTTGGGGTTTTTTTTAGAGAGGTTTCAGTGTCACAGACTTTTTTTGTGTTTGTTTATTTTTCAGTTGCGACACTGCAAAGGAGAGACAGCTTTTTGGCCTTACCAAGGAAACATGCCTGTCTTGCCCTAAGCTGAGGTTTAGCTTTCAACTCCCCAGTGCCTATTTATAGTTGCTTCCCAAAAAAATGTCGACAAGTACAGTGTGGTTCCTTATCCCGCCATGCAGGGGATAGGACTAGAATGAACCCAGCCATGAAAGCAAGCTTTTCAGCATGTCAAGTCGTAGCATGTTGTGCACCCTACAGAGGAGTAGGACAATGACATATTTGGAATCGGCTCCTGCTGGATGTTGCCAGGAAAATATTAGGTGATAATCAAAGCTATTATAGATAAAATCTTTGCTCACAGGGCAGTATTCCTGCACTGCTGCTTTCTTTAAGCTTACTCCTAAAGGAAAATAGTGTTCTGGGTCCTGTTGCAGGTTCATTTGTGATTTTTATCTAAAGACTGATTGCGCTATTTTTCTTGAGGCAGCTCTTCCTGACTTTCACTTTCCAGTTCAGCAGTTCCCAGGGTAGGGGAAGCATATTTGGCTTCTGTGCATGACAGAAACAAAAAACAGCATGCACATGGGAGCAGTATTAGATTGCACAGTGGCTTACTTAGTGCAAGTGAGCTAGTCCACTCACAGTTTTCTAAAAAAGCAAAGAAATAGCAAATGATTGCAAAGGTTTATTTTAAAAGCAGGACTTCTCCTTCTGTGTAGCATTGCTGTAGGAATGACTGGTCTGCTCTGCTGCCCTCAAATTCAAACCTTTGCATAGGTTGATGTATAGCTTTGCTGGTGGATGGTTCTGCTTACCAGGGTCACCTACATGGTCTCTTGCAACAGAGGCTTCTGCCTGCAAAATGAGGGCAAATGCAAATGTTTTCTTAAAATTCGTGGCGATGGAAGGTTTTTTTTGTGGCAGGGGAGGGGGCCTAGGGGTTTGCCCTACAGTCTCTTTATATTTCAGAAAGTTTTTACATTGCCTTTTTACAGGCAGTGTGGAGCAATCAGCCCAACCTAATGGCATGGTCTTGGTTTTTATGACAAACCTGCTTTCCCTCCCTCTGCAACCGTGTCTCACTGGTAGGATGCATGGGCTGAAGAGGATCACGTTCCAGAACATGTCTCCGCTACCTGCAGAGGTGATACAGCATGCAGTACATGGTGACATACCTCAACTCGCCATGGGCTAGCTATATCTGGAAGCAGAGGCAGCGTCACCTTTGTACCCTGCACTTCAGTGCTGGTTTTGCCACCCCTGGGTATGGAGTTGGATGACAGAGAGAGATACATGTCCCAGACTACTGCTTGGCACAGCACAGTGTCCGATATATGATTAAGGGTATAGATAGTGTAGAACGTAGGTAATATAGCTGATCAAGAGCCAGGCAAGCTGAAAGGCTGGGCTAGAGAGCCTGGGAGAAGGGCTGGTTTTTGGCTGGCCGAAGAACCTTGTTTTTTATCCTGAGGGCTTGTGCTAGTTAGCTTATTCCACTACCTTTGTGTCTGTATTGATATTTCTCGTGCAACTGGCCCTTCTAGAGGTGTGCGGGGTCTGCTCGTCATGCCTCTGAACGTGGGATGGTGTGCAGAGTCCCCATGCTGGGCAAGTGTTTACTTTTTTGTTACCTGAAAGCATCACCTTCATATGTGTGGTGCTCTGTGTGACCTTCATATGTGTGGTGCTCTATGTGAAAAGCTCAGTCTCCTCTGGGATCTGGAAAGATTGCTGGATACTGGCCA